TAATTTAAGTGGTAGTTTTTTGAATTTTTTAAGTTCCTTCCAAATGGTGGAGGGTATTAAAAGAACGGCCCGGCCGAACTTTGTTTAAATTACTTTATTTTATTTTTTTTTTTGCATTGAATTTCGATGTATAAACCAAAATTATCAAGAGAAACTACTTTGTTATAAAAATGTCAAATTTCAAAAAATGTCAAATGGCCCACTAAACCCAATATTAAACACTTATACTCTTTGTATTTTTGGGTTTCGCTCGAATAAGACCGAGCATTATTTGTAAATTTCAGAGTAGAAGCAAAATTTGTTCAAAAACGGGATATATTCTACTCTTGTCGAGCACTCTTGTCTTGTGTATTTTTTGTACACTCAATACCTCTTTCCCCTCACACTCCCCCTCTTCACCCTCGTAGTACCTTCTCCTATAAGTAATAATAATGGACATGTTTGAAATTCATCCATATCTACCCATGAGCATTATTTATAGTTTTATGAATTAAGTTCCTAAAATACAAAAAATCGTTCATTGGAAACAATTTCTGAATTCTCTTCAATCAATATATATGTATTTTTGATTGTATTCTATTTAAATAATTTTTTCAAAATAAGTTTAAACAGTATCTAAGAGAATATTAAAGATAGTTTTTGATGTTGCCATAATCTCCCTCTCTTGTAAATAAATTCATTCTTGCTTTTTACTCCGTTTTGTCTTTCAATTTTTGATATATTTCAATAACCTCGTCTACTTTGATAAAAACAACAACAAACTCCAATAACCATTTTAAAATTCAACAATATCGGCCAAAAAGCATTACTTATAATTCTATGAACAGAGTTCATAGAATGCAAAAATCCGTTCATTTGCAACACTATCTGAACTCTATTCATTTATATATTAAATTTTATTTTGAGTGAATTCTATTTAAATAAAATTTCAAATTATCAAAATAAGTTTAATATTTATAAATTAGTTTGTTATTGTCATACTAAACTTTTCTCCTCTCTTGTAGGCAAACTCATTCATTCCTCTTTCTTTTATGAACAGAGTTCATAGAATTTAGGAATTCATTTCTTTTTAGTAAATTTTGCCTTCCATTGTTTTTTTCAAAATCATCAACTCTCCCCTAACATTAATAGAAAAACAACAACAACAAAACCAACAAATATCAATCAAAATCGACAAGAGAGTATTATTTTTAATTTTATGAACTAAGTTCATAAAATGCAGAAATCCATGCATTGGCAGCGCTATACGAATTATATGTAAATTATTTTGAGTTAATTTTTTCAAATCAAATTTCCAAAATTCTTCTAATCTTCATTGAAATAGAAATTTTAAAATTATTCTTGTTATTGCAATACTCATACGTTTGGCGTTCAAAGTCGAACAGTAATCTTTTGCCACAATCAAAATATTTGTCAAGCAAAACAAAAAATTGGAATACCAACAACAATGAACGCACGTTAAACCAATTTACTTAAACTCAAAGTACCTATCACAAAATGTATTATAATTCCAACCCAAACAACAACAACAATGCTGCTAGCAAATTCTGGAAATTTAAAGCCACGAGCATTTGATTATCGTCAAAGTAAAAAAAAAAATAAAAAAAAAACATAAAACAACAACAATTGCAATATCGAACAAAGAAACAATGACTTTTAAACAGATATATTTGAACATGATTTCGAATTTGCATGAGCTCTATTAATAGCTCATTAAAAACCATGTTTATTGATTTTGATTTTATTTTTTGTGGTAAAGAAATAATATTGGAATTTATTTTAAATATTAAAAAAAAATATTCAGAAAAAATTAAAATTTTAAAAATTAATTTGTCTTTTTATTAAAGTGAGATTTATAATTTTACCAAATTTAGAACAAGATTAAAAAAGATGTTTGTCTTTTTATAAAACTCAGTTTTTTAATTTTTAAAATTATCAAAAAAAAAAAAAATAAGAACAAAAAATATTTAAAATTTATTCAGATAAAGGTATTTACATTTTGGTTTGTTTTTATACCCTACACCAATAAGTGGTAAGGGTATTATGTCTTTATGCATTTATTTGTAACATGGAGAAGGAAGCGAGATAGTCCCATAGTTACTTTTGATGATCATCATAGAATCACTTTCGGAGTCGATATATACATGTCTCTCCGTCAATTTGTCCATGCCGTTTGGGCAGGTCGCATTTATTATCCGATTGAGATGAAACTATTCAAACAATATTTGTTTGGCCCAAGGACCCTATTTAAATTGGTGAGAATCGGTTCAAATTCAGATATAGCTCCCATATATATCTTCAACCGATTTCGGGTTAATTGTGCACCAAATGGCCAAAATCAGCCCAAATTGTCTGAATTTTAGCACTATCAACGGAATTCATCCTAGAAACAAGTTTTTCAAATTTTGGTTAGAATCGGCTAAAATATACCTTTAGCTCCCACATATATCTTTCATCCGATTTGGGTTTTAAGTCCTTCACATGCCCTCCACAAGAATGATACCTCTGTCAAATTTGATCGAAATCGGATCTGATTAGGATATAGCTCCCATATATATCTTTATCCGATTTTTGGTTTTTTAAAAAATGTTGCCAAGATCTTTTCAGATTTGGATATAGCTCCCATACACAGGGTGAGATAAAAAACTGCAACAAAGTCAAACGCCATCATTTCTACATTTTTTTTTTAAATTTTACTGAACGAAAACAAAAAATGTCGGAAACCGTCACACGCTGCCCGAATGCTGCTATGCAGTATTTTGGCCATTTCCGGTGCCAACCTTGCTTTCCAAAATACTCCAGACACAATAGTCCAACGGATTGGTATCTGGAGATTTTAGTGGCCTGGAAATGATGCGAGGAACCATGTAATCATTCTTGGGTGGCGCGTGCTGTGTGCGATGGTGCTGAGTCTTGTTGAAATGTCCAAGGTCTGTGGCCATAATGGTTTGCGTGCCCAAGGCTTTAATATACCCTCCAGAATATTTTTCCGCGATAATATTCGGCATTTATTCTGACGCCACCGTCGATTAATGCGAGCGGATAGCGGCCATCGGCTGTTGTGGCGGCCCACACCAACACCATGGCCGCCGCTTGAGTTCTGGTGGCCAACCGAAGGTGCAGATTTTCAGCTCACCTCTTTGGCAAGTAAACGCGATCATTTTGTTTGTTTACAAACTGCTGGACAACGAATGTTTTCCCATCGGAGACGGAGAATACCAAATTCAGCAGTTCACCACTTTCGGCCAAGCTAAGCAACTCTTAAGCTCTTTTGAGTCTATGTTCTTTCTGTTGCGGTGTAAGTTCTGGCACTTTTTGGAATTTCAATGGCTTTTTCCCGAACTCATATTTGAATATTGCGATATGTTCAGCTCACAAACCATTTTTCGGCCACTGCGACGCGGGTTTCGATCAAGTCGCTTCTTTATTTTTCGAACCATTTCTGCTGATGTTGCTGTTTTCTTCCGTCCCCTTCATTTATGTCGGGGTACGCTACCAGTATCACGAGCCAGTAACGAGACACAAATGATTTATTCACATTTATATGCTAGAGTCCTCTAACCATAGCCACTTGGGGTTTTCCAGCCAAATATAAAGAAATCACACTATCACGCTTGAATTCCATCACGAATAACTTTTTTTCTGGAAAATTCTCACCAAAATGCTTTTGTACGCTTGTAGACAATATAGTGAGCGGTCACTGGAATAATTTTAACAGCTGTCGGACGAGTGGCTTAGAAATGACAGCAGTCTCAAATTATGTTTTTTTTTTCTTTTCTACGTGGGCTATACTAAGTTCGCATACTAGTGTAGGGTATCATATACCCGACCCGCCCGATTTTTTTACCTTCCTTACTGGTTTAATAACTCATTTTTTTCTTTATAACCTCTTAAGGTTATGATACCCCCCTGCTCAATTTCACCATGCCCTGTCGATTATTCATATCAAACCTTTTTGGTTTTTGTATAACACTTGTCTGCATTTGCTGTTACTAAACAATGACAATAATTTATAAATAATTATAGTTTTTTGTTTTTGTTGTTGTCTGTTTTAAATGCGCATTTCAATTACTATTTCACAGTTTAGAGTGTACATTTTGAAATGAGAATGGAGAGATTTGTTTGTTGTTGATTTTTTTTTTCAAAAATAATGACGAATAGTGGATAGATTAATTACTTGGCTGAAGTACTGATGATGACATTTTTTTTAAATTTAAATAAAACTTAATTACTGATCTCTGGTCACGTTCAAGTAATTTGCATGGCTTCGGCCGGCAGAAATCGTTATTAAATTTTATTTTAATAGATATACGATCATTTGCTGATTATACCCTATGGTGGGGGAGGAAATGATTTACTAAAGGGGTCTTGGGGGGATTTAAATTTTATAACCTGATGAGTAAACATGTTATCCAGAACTTGCCACACTTAAATGAATTTTGGCTTAAAACGCATTTACCTACAGATATTTATACGAGTATATACCCTCCAATACAATATCGTACCTTTAATTTGGCAATTTTTAAATTTCCCCAAAAATTCCAAATTTCGGAGCCCATATACCAGTCAATTATTTACTTTCAATTTTATTTTGGGACCAACATCGTATGACTTTTATTCTGCAAAACAAAAAAAAAAAAACAACCTTATCGGCCAGTTTATGGCATTATCCTATGATTTATTTTAACTTGAAGTTTGACGTCGTCGAATTGGCGATAATTAAAATTCTTATTCGCCGTCTTGGTCTCATTCTCTAGAGCGTACACAAAAAACCCCAAATAAAAAAAATCAATTGCTAAAGTACAATTGGCAAATGGCTGATAAGCAATGCAAAAAAAGCCAAGATAAGCAAAAGACCATGACATTGCCATAATTCATGGCATATCAAAATCAGGTCAACAATCTCGCTCAAGTAAAGAGAGCTCTATGACTACACACACACACACACATTGACTTTCAAATAACCTTTGCTAATTTCGTTATTTTTTCTATTCTTCCAGGTAAAAATCGTGTCTTCAATTGGGCGTTGAGCGCCGCCGAAGACTGTGTTTCCCGGGCCGTCACCACTGCCGCACCCATTGTCTGTAAGCTGGATCGTCCCATCCACTATGTAGATCAGACTTTGGTAAAGGGTATTGATAAATTGGAAGTTAAGGCCCCCATCATTAAGGATACACCCCAAGAAATCTACAATCAAGCCAAAAACAAGGTTATTGATGTTGTCCAGCCTCATATCGATCGTGTGGTGAAATTCAAAACTGCCGGACAACAAAAAGCTGCCTCCCTGAAGGATTTGGCCTGGCAAAAGGCCAATGAGGTCTTGGCCACCCAATACGGTAGTTTGGCTGTGAATGGTGTTGACACCACAACCGCCTTGGCCGAACGTCTCTTGGAATACTATTTCCCCAAATCGGATTCGGATGTGGAGGAAGATAATGGTGAGTATTGAGGTGGGGAGTTTCGATTTTTTTTTAAACAAAAAAAAAAAATACTTTGTAGGAATATCCTGTATAAAATAATAGCGATGTAGGGTCTATACATTTTGATTAAGGATATAAGTTCAAAGTGGCATTTTATTTTGTGTTATTTTTTTTCAAACATAATTTCCAATATCCAAAATGATTTTAATCTTTATTTAAATTGAAATTTAAGACCTTATGAGAGTCTTCTATAGAGAAAATATCTGAGACAGAAAAACTCTCCTCTCTCTATAACCGATTGGTAGAAGTCATTATAAAGTCTGTATAAGGCTCTCCATCTGCAAAATAACAGTATAAAGTCTTATATCTATAGACATTCTGTATAGGGTCTAGGATAGATTTATGAGGATTTTTTTCTGGAAGAGTAGAATAAGGTCTAACATTTGGTAAGGACATGTATAAGCTCAACTATCCACGAAGAAGAATTGGGGTTCATTATCCTAAGAAGACATGTTTGTAGTCCTTTATGCTTTCAGGGTCCTATAAGGCTTTCTATCTGCAAAATACCTGTATAAGGTTTTCTAACTTTCGAGACCTGTTAATTCTATCTATGAAATACCTGTAAGAGGTCCACTATCATTAGAACCGACAATGGTATTAGACCATCAATCTACCTATATCATATTTATAAAAATCCAATCCAAGGCCCAGTAAATCTATATAAGGCCTCTATCCGTAGTAGATCAGTATGATGACTTCTATTCGGAAATAACTGTAAAAGTCCACCAAGCCACAGAAGATCAATATAAGGTCTGTATTAGGGACTCCGTTTATGTAAGAACTATATATGGTCATCTATCTAAATAAGTCGTATATCAGGTCTATTATTCATCTCTGCATCTCTGCTGAAGGGTCTTCTGTCTTTAGATGCCCTGTTTGAATTTTTCTATCGATAAGAGACATGTATATGGTCTCATTCAATCTATATATGTTATAGAAGATCTGTGTGAGGTCTTCCATACATATCAGATCTTCTACCATCATATAAGGTCTTCTATCCATACGAGACTTCTATAAGATCTTCCATTCATAAAAGGCCATAGAAGACCCATATAAGGTCTTCTATCCATAGGAGACCCGTATAAGATGTTCTATCTATGGAAGGTCTGTATTAGGTCTTCCACCTGAAAAAGACCCGTATAATGCCTTATTTCCATTGAAGAGCCACATAAGAGCTTCTATCCAAAGAAGACTAATATAAAGTTTTTTTTTTATCCATTAAACCCGTATTCTATACATAGAAGATCCGCATAGGGTCTTCTGTGCTGTACAGGTTCTATTATACATAAAATACCTACATAAGATCGTCTAACAATAGAGGACCCGTATAAGGTCTTCTATCCATAGAAGACCCATTGAAGAGCTATTGAAGCTTTGTGAATGTTATTCTATACACGGAAAGCCCTATATGTTATTTTATTTAGGTAACCCGTCCTATATAACCTTCTATCCATAGAAGGTCTTCTATTCATAGAAAATCCGTAGAAAGTCTTCCCATAGAAGGCAGAGGACCTCTAAAATGACTGCTATCCGTAGAGCATTTAAGATCCATATCTGTTGTCTAAATATGACCTTAGAAAGGTCCTTTGTGGATAATAACACAAATGATACCCATTTTTTGGCCTTTTTAAAATTTTGCGAATTTTTTTTTACAAAATCCGGGTCCAGAATGTCGATAAGTTTGATATAACTACCGAAAGGTTTGAAAAAAACACCCATCGTGATCACTTGTTGTGAAGGTATTTTCATTACCTCTAAAATGATACCCATATTGTCCATATCGATTTAGTAGATCCGGGTCTAAACCGGATATTGGAACCGGATTTTCGGGTATCCGGGTCGGCCCCCAAGAAAAAAACATTCTATCACGTAATCAGTTTTCAAATGATACCAATATTATCCATATCGGTTTAGTAGATCCGGATCAAACCCGGGTCTTGGACACGGACTTTGGGGCTGGGCCTGGGTTTCAAGATCTTCGTCAATTTCTATGAAGACAGAGGAACTTATTGTTGGGATTATATGACTATAGGCTATAGAAGTGATCTTATTCTTCTTTCTCAGGTGGACGTTCTGGGGACCACTTTTGTCTAGCTTTTTCAGACATAATTCGAGATATTTTAATTGTAATTTGAGAATGATTCGAATTACAAATGGAATAATTCGCAATACCAATGGAAAAATTCGAATCAAAAAGATATCTTCCATTAATATTGCACCCTCCAAGGGCCTTCTGTCCTGTTCTGAATCACATTCAACAATTTCAATCAATTTCGCACATATATATTTCTTTATCACTCTGCAGAGTGCTGAAAAACAACAACAGCAATTGGCAAAGAGTACAACAAGAACAAAATAGAAAAACCCCATGATAAGATAACATTCAGAACTTCAAGGTGCAAAACATATGGAAACTCACATGCTTTTATTTTTCAAGCATTTATTTTTAAAGATTCCAAGGTTTTTTTTTTCTTTCGTTGCACCCATTTATTACGACTGAATAACTGAGTGACAGACTAACTGACTGACTGACTGCCTGCCTGATATGAAACAATGTTGTGTATATAGTGTGTTGATGATGTTGAGAGTACTATTCTATTATCTGGCGACCTTAATAAAATCTGACAAAAAAAAAAAGACTCGGTAAACATCATTGTTTGCACTCGTATGAACGTCATATTTGCATTGAGAGAGAGGGACGCTCATACAGACACATAATGGAATTTATGTCGAGATTTTATTGTTAGAGAAGGCACAATGGAATTCGAGTGTGAATTTATTAAGACGTACTTTTTTGGAATTCTCAGATTTTCAATTTTTTTCTAGAATTAATATTGAAATTTTTAAAAATAAAACAGGGATTTCAGAGAAAGAGCCCAGAATTCTTTCCTTTCAAATTTTATAGTATTAGACTAACACATTATTTTTTTGTAATTGTAGTTACTTTTTTAATGGAAAAAGTCAATAAAAATGTTTAATTTCAATTTTTTCCTCATTTAATTCTCAGATGTAAAAGAAATTGCTGTCACACAAAATGGCCATAATGGCAAACATCCCGAAAATGACAGTAAGTTTTTTTTTTGTTTGTTGTTAATGTTTTGTTTCGATCGTTTTTTTTTTCGTATCTAGACTTCTATTGGCCTTTTAAAATTAACCAAAATATATGTACGTTGCCTCGACAACCCCATAAAAATTGGGAGTCCAGAGGCAAGAGCTATCGCTAAAAGAAGAGTTAAATTTGCATGCCACTAAAAAAACAAATTTTGAAATATTTATTGGCTTTTTCTATTTGTTTTTATGATGAATTCTGCATGGTTCAATATGTAGATAAATGTTTATATTGTTGTAAATATTTTTTTGATTTTTTAAATAATATTTTCCAACTCGTATTTTGAAAGCCAAGTCTCCAACGGCTAATATTCACAGATAATGAGAGGTTCATTCTTTGAAGAAGAACTAGTTCTCGCTCTCTTAGTTCTTTCGTTCCTTTTAATTGAATAGTTCCTGCTAGTTCAACCTATACTGTTGTTTTTGAGAAGTACAGGTGTATCAGAGATTCCCTACCATTAATCAAAAAAAAAAAAAAATAAATAAATAAATAAATAAATAAATAAATAAATAAATAAATAAAAAATGACCAAGGGAACAATATTTAAAAAAAAATATTAGACATACGACAGAACTCAAACTGGTTTCAACAGTTCATTTTGCAGAATAGTTTGCCATGAGCAAGTTTATTACGGAACTTTACAAATCTGCCGACTTTTTTTCACTTTCCAAGTGTACATTTCACACGGCAACTTCTTGCGGGGAAAGAAAAGGTATTTGGAAAATGAATTAATTAAAAGAAAAAAAACTAGGACCAGTTTCAGCAGTTCCTTCCGCAGAATAGTTCCCTTGTTCAAAACCATTCTGGAACTACACAAACCCTTCTATGAATTTCCTTCAAACTTAAGTTGGTTACTTTCCAACGTGACGTTTATTTAGTAATTAATAGCGAAAACGATATTTTACAAAAGAATAAAAAAACAAAGGAACTGTAACTAGTTTCAATAGTTCATTTCGCAGAATTGTTCCCCCGAACAAGATTAGTTCCCCGGAACAATACAAAATTGCCGATGACTTTTGCTCACAATAAAGACTGGCTAGTTACCAAGTATGATTTACTCAATAACTTCTTGCGTCTATAGGAACCGTATTTTTAAATGAATTCATTGAACGGAAGAACTGGCACTAGTTTCAAAAGGTCTTTTCGTAGAATGGTTCCCATGAGCAACTTGTTTTTCCGAAACTAAATAAAACTGCCGATGAATTTTATTTACAATTAAGTCCAGTATGCGTCCCTGGCTACTTCCCAAGTAAGGTTTGCTTATTTAGTTCCTTCGTTCCTTTTAGTTCTTATATTTTAGAATAAATAGCTATTTCTAGTTCAAAAAAATCTACTGTCTTTGAGAAAAGTAGTTGAATCAGAATTAATGTAAGGATATTTGACAAAAGAATTAAGTAAACGAAAGAACTAGAACTACAACAGCTCATTTCGTAGAATAGTTCCCATGTTCCAATTTATTCAAGAACTATACAAATCCATCGATGAACTATGAACTTCTTCATACTTTTTATGAAACTACTCAGAAATTTCTTGTAGGAAAGAGAAAAACATTTGACAAAAGAATACGATAAACAAAGGAACTTGAACTAGTTCCACAAGTTCATTTCGTAGAGTAGTTCGTTTGAGTATATTTATTCCGGAACTACAAAAATCTGTCTATGATTTCCTTTCAAAATTAAGACCAATAAATATTCCTGGTTACCTGCAAGTAGGAAAGGTTTGCAGAACAGAGTACAACATTTAAAAAAAGAATAAGATAAATGAAGGGACAGGGACTAGTTGCACCACTTCCATGCGTAGAATAGTTCTCGTGAGCAATTTCTTTCCGGTACTTCAAAATTAAGTCCAATTTATATTTCTGGTTACTTTCAAAGTAAGAATGATTTGCAGGAATGGGAACGATATTTATCAAAAAAAAAAATGGAATTAGTTCCAACAGTTCCTTTCGAAGAATAGTATCATGAGGATATATACAATTCTGCTAATGACTTTTGTTCACAATCAGGTCCGAAAGTTGCCATTTTTCATGTAAGATTTACTCAGTAACTTCTCGTTGGAAATATAAAGATTTTTAACAAAATAATGAGACGAACGAAGGAACTAAAACTAGTTCCAACAGTTCCTTTCGTAGAACACTCCCAGAGAAGAAGTGTATTCCGAAAATATACAAATCTGCCGATGCTTTTTGTTCATAATTAAGTAAAGTATGTGGTCCTGCCTACCTCCCAGGAGAGATTTACTGAGTAACTTATTGCGGGAACAGAGAACATTCAGAAAAATTAAAATATTTAAATTATTGACCCAAAAAATATTAAATTAGAGAGTTTTGATTTCCATTAACTACCACCGACTAATATGTGGTTACGAAAACTTTTCCCCCAAAAACTACTCAGGAATTTGTACTCTCTCTCTCTTGTACAAATATTGCAAAAAGTTATCGAACAATATTCTGTTAATTCCAGCAAGAAACGGCAAACATAATTAATTGTCGTAGCTCCGAAATGCGAGCGAGTATCACTCTTTTCTCGAACATGAGCAGGAGTACTCCTGCGAGTAAAAAGGAGATGGCGAGTATACCCTATTTTTCTATGCCACTCGAATAAGAAACAGGGAGTGGTCTTTGCTCTTTTGAAATCGAATAGATTCTAATCTTGCGGAGTACTATTTTAGTTTTTCCTCTCAATTTTACTCTTAGAGCACACTCTTGCTCTATATTTCTGGCATTTTTACTCCCACCCTTAATTTGAAAACAGAAGTGATTTTTGGCATTGTCAAAAAATCAAAATAGAGAACTTCTTTTAAAATTCCAACTCTTTGAGCACTCTTTCCCCCGAGTATGTTGCACTCGTGAGTAAAAATGAGCAAATTTGAGCTCTGCTTACCTAGATAATTCCAGGGATTGCAATAAATGGATCTTTATTTATTTTCTTTGCTTCTTTTCCGTCTTTCTATCCTCATTTTCTTTTCTCCTTTAAAATTTCCCTTTTGTGTCTAAGAACCGTAAATGACGTTTATTTTTTTCTCTTCCTGTTTCTTTTCATGTTTCCTCTCCACATTTAGTTGAAGAAATTTATAATCAAGATATTGAACTTGACAGTAGATTCTTAGTTGCGGCCTCCACCGTCTTTCTGTCCATGTCACTGAAAATTATTACCGAAATTGTAGAATATGTTAGACAAAATCCCGAAATAATCAATATTATCGATAGGCAAATCAATGATTTCATGGTAAGCTTTCCCCGAAAAAAAAAAACAAGCCATGACTAATAAGTAAAACTAAATTGTAAATAATTTGTGTGTATTTGTATTGGAATGTATTTATGTGTGCGTGATTTTTTAAACTTTTTTATACTAATTCTCCCTTTTTTCTTGTTTCAGTCCCAGTTCCCGCAAGCGAGGACCCAGTACTACACACCGTACAGACCGTCGGCCGACTCAAGAACAAGATATCCCGTCGCGTCTATAGAAATGTCTCCAGACAGATCCGCAAAGTCCAAAAGGGCAACGTCAACGACTATCTAAGCTCCCTCATAGCTGCCCTCAAATTGCATCAATACATTAACTTCATTAACTCATCGATGGGTACAAATGTGGAGCAATCATCGTTGACTGAAAACTCAACGACGGCGGCGCCGTCCACATCGTCGTCAGCCAATGCCAACAACTGTAAGGCCCCAATGTAAAGTGGTGCTGAAGCAGGGAAATTAAAAAAATTATCTTTTTTTTTGTTTAATTGCATTTTATTTTTTTCTTTCGTCTACCACGAGGAGAAGAACTAACCCATAAGTCCATGCCTCCAAACTAACCTACCCTTCGCAACCCAAAATCTTCCCTCTCCCCCCCCCCCCCCCAAACTAATCCTTAAGTTTTATTTAGTTGTAGATTATCAAAAAATCAAAAAAAAAAAAAATGAAAAGAAATTAAAAAACAATTCAACCAATTGTTTATTTAGTCGCTAAGCAAATTAATGAATATCCCCCTCTCTATCACTCACTCCAATGTGAGATCATTCAAAAAGAAATCCTGAAATCATAAAATACATAAACAAATAGGTGGGGAATGTTTTCGATTTATATGAAATTGATTTATTTGCAAGTATTTTGAATTCCACACTACTCAAAATCAATTTTTGCTTCCTAAACATTCCCTTTGCTTTCTGCCCTCCTAACCTTAAAATAAAAAAAAAAAAATAAAATTTATTGCCAATGTAAATATTTATAAACAAACAAAATATTGATTAAACTACAACTGAAAATTTATATTTTTGAAAAAAAGAAGTGAAAGAATTAAGCTTTAATATTGAAATAATATCATAAAGCCTACGTCATACATACGCACATATCTATTATTTTATATCAATATTTTAAGTTATATATTATATTTATAAATAGTAGTAAACAAAACTTTTTAAAGAACACATATTCTATTTTTTTAGATTTTTAAGTACCCCAAGAAATGAAAAAATACTGAAATAGAAGTATAATTTTTTTTGTATAATCTGTAATAATAATAACATGCTATATAAATAATATGAACACACCCACACCACGTATATATGTGAAAAATAAAAGTGATAAATTATTATTATGAAAATATATAATAAAAATAATAATCATAATAAGATGAAGAGAAAAAAACAGAAGAAAACATGGCATTATTTATTTATAACCAACACCACAAAGTGTGGTTTGAAAGTATGCATTGCAAAGTAAATATAAGGACAAGTTCCTCTTCTAGCATTTTTTATACATTCAGTCATATGGCTAGAGAGGGTATATACAGGGTGAGATAAAAAACTGCAATAAAGTCAAACGCTATAATTATACCCTCAACCTTGGAACGGAGGGTATATTAACTTTGTCGTTCCGTTTGTACCATCCTTAAATATTCGTCTTAGACCCCATAAAGTATATATTTATAATCAGTCGATTTAACGATGTCCGTCTGTCCTTGGTATTTGTGGGTCATAATGGTTTCCAGCTTCGGTGGCGAAACATTGCATGTATGGGTCCATGATTTGGTATAGCCCCCATATGACGGTACCTCCCGATATTCGGTATTTTGATGGTTTTTGCCACATTTTTTCACTGATTTGTCTAAAAATTGGTATTTGTGGGTCATAATGGGCCCTAGTTCGTGTGGCGAAACATTGTAATTATAGGTCCACGTTTTGGTGTAGCCCCCATATAACGGTACCTCCCGATATTCGGCATTTTTGTGGTTTTTGCCACATTTGTTCTAATGTTTCTTTTACCCTAAGGTGGAGGGTATTAAAAGTTTGGCCCGGCCGAACTTAATGTTTTTTTCCTTGTTTTTACATATTTTTTTTTTTTTAATTTTATTAAATGAAAGCAAAAAATGTCGGAAATAGCAACAAATTTTAGAATAAGTTTAGATTTGTTCGAATTTTTCACCTCTGGTACGAATTATGGCCTTCAAACGGCCAATGATATTGCCAACCTTGCTTGCCACAATACTCCAGACACAATAGTCCAACGGATTGGTATCGGGAGATTTTGGTGGCCATTGTGCGCTGGAAATGAAGCGAGGAACCTCATTTTGTAACCATTATTGGTCGTGCTGAGTCCTGTTGAAATGTCCAAAGTCTGCGGCCTAGCGTGCTCAAGGCTTTAATATACTATCCAGAATATTTTCGCGATAGTATTCGGAATTTATTGTGATGCCACGGTCGATTAATACGAGCAGATAGCCACCATCGTCTGTTATGGCGGCCTACACCATCACCACGGCCGGCGCTTGAGTACTGGTGGCCAACCGAAGGTGTACATTTTCAGCTGACCTCTTTGGCGATCATTTTTTTGTTTGTTTACAAACTGCTGGACAACGAATGTTTTCTCATTGGAGAAAACCAAATTCGGCAGTTCACCACTTTCGGCCAAGCTAAGCAAATCTTTAGCTCTTTTGAGTATTTTTTTTTTTTTCTCATTTTGACGGTTATACCCACATTTTTCCACGGATTTGTCTAAAATTTGATATTGGTAGTTTGCAATGTGTTCTAGCTCCGGTGGCAGAACATTGAATATCTAGGTCCGGTTCGGTATTTTGACGATTTAAGGCACATTTTCTAATAGATTTGTGTGAAATTTGGTATTTGTACTTCATTGTGGGTTCTACTACCGGTGCCAAAACATTGTCGATATTGGTCAACGGTTTCTAAACAACGGTTCGGTATCTAATATATGGACCGATATCCGGTATTATGATAACCCTAGTCACATTTGCCCACGAAAGTATGTTCAATTTGATATTTAAGATATAGGCTCCCGTTTTTATGGCCCCCATCTACCGATCTTACTGAAGTTTGAATTTTTTTTTGGTGTAATCTGCGACCCAGAGTAGAGTTTCATGGCGAATAATATTGTGAAATTTGTTGAATGTAGTTTTTAAAAAAATTTCGAAAATGGGCCATAAAAACACCGTCGATGATTCACTTGAGGGTTTACAACTTTTATGACAAATATTGACAACTATTAATTCGAAATTTATTTAAAAACGGAAGAGGGGAAAACTTTTAAGGGCCGACAAGGGAGCTTTCTCCCATATTTTTTATCTTTTGTGTGGGAGTACCAGAATCAGCTAATTGAAAAATTTTCCCTACTGTATTTATGTTGCTATAAGTATTACAATGTGCAATACGGTTAGTGGAATGTGTGAAATTTGTAGACGAATCCCATTCCTTCAGAACTCATAAAGAAACAAGTAAGCAAAGGCTATAGTCGCGCGGGGCCGGCCATGTGATACCCTACAACACTACAATAAGTTAGAACGCCCCTTATGTCCCAATCCATTTTGAAATATTTCGTTTTTGAAATAGGCATTACCCTTAGGCATTTGACCGGGGGCATTTGCCCAATATTTACTCACTACATCGTGTTGTCAGGTATTCAAAACAATTTCACACCAAAATTGTGGTCCATTTTGCAATTAAATATAATCCAATGATCATCCAAAATGCTCGACATCTTTCCCGTCCGTCACCTCTCCTCATGCAAAATTCCGTGTCGATTGGTTTTAAATTGTGAACTGTATCAGGAAAATTTTAATTTTGTTTTGTCCAAATGTACATCTTAACTCTGAACCTAACCCTACCCCTATGCCAAATTTCGTTAGGATCAGACGATAATTGTGACCTGTATATAATACCCTCAAAACATAGAGTTGCAGGGTGTAGACAAATTATTGAAAACAACTGTATGTTGTAAGTCAAATTGTAAGTCAAATTGAAAATACCGCATGCGATAAAAAAATATGACAATAATTGAAAAAATGTAACAAAAAATGTTAACTTTTTTGCTGGATTTTACCCTTTTCTGGCAAGATTCCATTGCAAATTGGTGAAAATTATCAAAATCCGTCCAGCGGTTCTTGACTTATAAGCAGAATAACAAACATCAATTTCATTTACATATAGATTGTTCCTATTTCGCTACAAATCCGATATGTTGGCTATCAGCATCACTGTAATGGTCAGTAGTGACCTTCTAATAAATTTGTCATTTGACCGGGATTTAAAATATTCGCGATTTTGTTGAAATTTTCGTAGTTTTTGACATAAAAGTTATGAGTTATTTTAACCGTTGAATATTGTCCGATGACCGTCCAAATTGGTAGGTTTCTGCCCAGCCCTAAACTCTAACACCATCCAAAATTCCGCGTTGATTGGTTTATAATTGCGGCCTGTAGAGCAACTGCAAAATGAGGACATTTTTCAGGTTTTGGTCCATTTCAACTCCTAAATATTTTACGATCATCTCCTAAAACAATAGGCTTATATTCAGACCCCATCCCCACCTCCATTTTCAATTTCGTGACGATCGGGCCATAATTGCGACCTGTACCTTTATTACAAATTAACATGGACAGACGGACGGACGGACATACATAGCTAGATCGACTCAGCTCGGCGAGATAGGAAGATCCATATATTCTTTCCTATGTGGGAAACCAATATTTCGAGGTGTTACATAATTTTTGGCCCAATCAAACTTATAATATCCCCAACACATAGTGTTGTAGGGTATAAAAAGGGTCAACAGTTTGAATAATCATAATCATAATAATCAAGGCAGATGGTATACATCAGTTCATGTCGGATCATGCTTTCCCAAATAGGCACAAGGATACGATATGGAAATGTTCATACAATAATGGAGTTTTCAAACCATCAAATAGATTAAAATCGATTTGAGAATTGCGAAATTCCTATCATTTCCAACAACAAGTTTTGGATTTTTCAATTGTTCTCATAAACTATTAAAGCATTGAGCTTAAAAGTTGAGCATACTTTTAGGAGTAAGGAAAAATGTTGCCACTGCGATATTTGTTACTAACTAAGAGAAATAAAGTAGAAGTGGCCCACTTTTATGAGACACAAACTGGTAAATATGTATATAAATAGCATGTCTTCAAAATGATAGCAAACTATAGTTCATATTAAAATTGTATTTATATTAATTAAATGTTGTTATAAGTTTAATTGGACCAAAAATTACGTAACACCTCGAAATATTGGTTTTCCACATAGGATATTAATATCTCGCTGAGCTGAGTCGATCTAGCTATGTATGTCCGTCCTTGTTAATCTTTAATCACTCTACAGTTCGAAATTATGGCTCGATTTTCGCGAAATTGAAAATGGAGGTGGGACTATGGTCAGAATAGAAGCCTATTGCTTTTGGAGAATATTTATAGCAATTATAGTCCAATCGACGTGGAAGTTAGAATGGAGCTAGAGCTTAGGGCTGGGCAGAAGTCTTCCAATTTTAATGTTCATCGGGTAATATTTATTGGGTGAACTAGACCATAAGCTGATTTAAATATACGCTAAAAAGCATCAATATACCGAATGTAAAGAAATATTGTTATGCTGGGGGCTTTAATATGGGGGATATACGATATCGTGAACCTGTATAGACTATGCTTTTGCAGGCGGTAAAGTACTCAGAAGGAACTTCTTGTGTGCATTTTTAGGCAATTCCTTTAAAAAAAAATGGCTAAAATCACTAAAATACCGAATATCGAGAGAAACAGTTTATAAACGTGGACTATATCGTCTACTTTCTATTCTTTATATGAGAGATGTGCAAATTTTTAGAAAATGTGGAAATATGAGTGAGTTACCAGATATAGCGGACCGAAATATTCAATTTCATCTAATACAGATAAAAATATTGGTATTTTGTTGTTGCAAAATCGTCAGGCTTTGGTATTTGTAAAATTGAACATTTATTTACAATTTAATTTCATATCAGATTGC